GCCACAATCATCCTAGTGAACTGCAAACCTACCAATATAACTCTCAAACAGTGTCTAGACTGGGGCAATCGAGGAGAAGTGAATGGATCAAGACATCTCAGAAGAGGAAATAGATGAGAAGAACATTGAGTGTAGGAAATTGGAGTTACAGGCAGCTGAATATTCACAGGAGGTGACCACTGGACATGCCAGAAATATTACATATCAATGCATGAGACAAAGACTGATACAACATGCCCCAACTCCCTCCCCCTGTCACAGTGACTCTCCCTCAGCACCTCATCAATCTGTAATTTCCCTGTGTCCTTCTTTGTGCATGTGTGCAACTCATCACTGCACTTCATCACTGCATTGAAGGCTGTGGGTCTTCCTCTTCCAATCTCCAAGGCTATACATCCAACACTGATGTTGTCAATTTCAATTTGAAAGCCTCCAAGGATGAAGAATGCACACTAGAAATCTCTGTCAAACATGTAACAGGGGAACTGAGACAGCAGCTGCAATAAGTGAGGTTTTATTCAGATGGGACAATGACAAGTTTAAATCCCCACCTGATCTGCTGCTCAAAGTCACCTCTCTTTGTGACAATACTATGGCTTTAGGAGGTGTCATAGAATCCTACAGCATGGAGACAGGCCCTTCAGCCCAAACTGGTCCATGCTGACCAAAATGTCCATTCATGCTAACACCATTTTCCTGCACTTGGCCCATACCCTTCTAAACCTTTCCTGTATTTTGTCCTTTTTTTGAAGACGGGTTTTAAGTCAGAGGCGGCGAGCTGTCTATTGAAAGCCCATAAACTAAACAGCTTGTGAGGCCTTGGGTATTTTTTAAGTTGGAACAATAGAAGCAGCGTGAATGGTGTGGCAAGCTCCCACATAGCCAGGATTTTTAGTTTTAGTTTTCAGTAGCAGTTACTGGGTCTTGAAGCCAGGTTTGGAAGCTGCAGTACATTTCTCTCTGCTATTCTCTTTCTCTGAGTTTTCTGTTGATGTTTTTCCTGCTGGACTGGAGAATTACCTGTGTGACAATCTATGTTCTGAACTTGCATTTCCCCAAGTGTGTGTTTATGGGATATTACTATATCTAAAAGCTAATTAATAGTATCCCATTCTCTAATATAGAATTAAGTTATTTCCAATTTCTTCTTTCTTTTGCTGTATTTTGACTATAATTTATGAATAAAGTGTTAAGCTTCTAATCTGGTGGCTTATCCAAACAAATTGCATCCGGAATGCAATGCCTGGCACTTGCCTTTAAAATAAGAAAAAGTTAGGATCAAGGCAATCTTCTTAATACATTTTGAGGGAGTTTAGTCTGGTCCATAACACCTTTCACCGGTCCGTTTCCCGAGCTTCAGCGAAGTCATGTTGCTGCAGAAATATTTGGATTGACTGTGAGAGATGTCAATCAGAGAGCCCACCCACTCTGCCCATTCCCTCCTCTTCCTCTTCCAGAGCTGGTTCACTTCCTATAGGGACTGAAACCAAGTGAGGAGATGGTGAGTGAAGGGAGACAACAAGGTGCAGGGCTGGATGAACACAGCAGGCCAAGCAGCATCATAGGAGCAGAGAGGCTGACGTTTCGGGCCTAGACCCTTCATCAGAAAAGGGTCTAGGCCC